CTCTCTCAATTCTTCTTTCGAACCTGACCATGGTGGAAAAAATTTTGTGATCTCTGATCTCTCTCGTTCGATCATCTTCTCTGTGATTCCAATGACGAGCTGTAACTTCCCCCTTTTTGAAATTCGAACGAAGGTTGGATAATCAATGGCGACGATTCCGACGACGACGATGATTCTCCGCCGGGTCATCAATCGTCGTCTTGGCATCTCAACCTCGACACTTTTTGACTCCCTTCTTCTTCACCGTCTTCCACCACATCACCGGTCATCATAAGAATCCTTAAAGGTTCACCAATGGAGGTAGCAAAATTAACAAAAAGTAAGAGAGATATTTAGATTAATTTAGTATTAAATTTCTATTAATAAAAATGTTTAGAACCCCTTAAGCAAGCTCACCGTTGGAAATGCTCTAACTTCCTGCAAATTAGTTAATTTAAAATTTTAAAATATTTGTGGGTCCATACTTTAATTCAGGAATTATAGTTGGGAGTATAAAACAATAATGGCTCTATAGTTTAATGGTAGAATTCTCATAGCAGACTAGCAGAGCCGGTTCTGAAATATTGGGGGCCTAAGGCAAAAAAAAAAATTTGAGATTTTCTAGATAAATTTTTGAAAACAATACCAAATATTAATACTTTAAGAATTTTGGGCCCTATTATTACAAAAATCGATTAAACTGAGGACTTTTTTAATATTAATTAACTAAGAAATTTTGGGGGCCAGAGGCCCATATTTCATCTGGCAAGGCCTAGAGCCGGCCCTGCAGACTAGAGGCACCGGTTCGATTCCGGTTGGATACAATTTTTTTGGATAAAAATGTATTTTATTTGAAATTTTCCGGAAGTAAAAATACATTAGTATTAGATAAATATTTTATTTGAGCCGCATCTACAGTACCCTTCACCTTTTTTCGCCCATTTGGGACAAGCGTACGGCGACTATCTCAGCGCCGGTGTCGGGTCTCCTGTTTATAGTCTTTTTGCTTTCCGATCTCGTTGTTTGAGATTTTATTTGAGATTTGGTTTGTTCTACGTGGCATACTCGAGATGCGCTAGAGAAAAATTTAAAACTCTGACGTGGATATCTTAAGAAGCCTCAAATAGTCTTTTTAGTTACCTAGAAGCGATTAGGGATTGAGATTTGGTTTATGCCACGTGGCATACTCGAGATCTTCCAGAAAAGAGTTTAAAATGCTTATGTGGATAGCTTAAGGAGCCTCAAATGGTCTCTTTTAGTTACTAGAATTTTAAAATTCTCATGTATACGTAAACCATCTTTTATAATATAAATAATCAAAAGGGAAATTTTCATAAAAATATCCAAACTAAATTTCGATGAGTTTTTTAATACCCTAACTTTTTGAATACCCAAATAAATACCCCAACTATTTTTTTTGACCGGTTTAATTCTCTAACTCTTGTACGTCTACTCAGTTTATGACCTCGGGCTTACGGAATAGTAACGTCT